CGCGTAGCGGGAGAGGACGGGACGTGCGTCTCCGCGTCTTCACTGCGCCGCCCGTGAGGCATCAATAGAAGGCTGGTCGACGCGGCAGCGCGGCAGCCTTGGCATTGATTCCCCGCGGGAAATCGAGGCGATGAGGATGACGAGCACGCCCGGTCGCTGACTCGGCGGGCCCGCCAGGCTTTCGCGCCAAAATTGTTTCCTCGGGCGCCCTCTAGCGTGCCGGGTTCGGCCTAGGTCCGCCGGCGCCAAATTTGGCCCTAACTGGCGAAAATTGGGTTTTTGGGGATACGACTGGCCGATTTTTCTACGCCTGCGATATAAAAGGACCCTGGGGAGCTTGTTGAGGGCGCGGCTGGAGATGTTTTAAGATGTACTAGCAGGGAAAATAATGCTGGTAACATTTGTGCATCTTTCTTTTTGTTCTTCTAAAAAGAAAAAATTGCTACGAAGAAAAAAGAAAAGGTTCGTGAGATGGAGTTGTGTGCCGAGTACAAGCGTGTATTTGGTTTGAGAATCAAGTATCATAATCCACCGGAATGGGACGGTTCCATCTTCATGTTCAGTTAGAAAAGTGGAATAGAATGGTGTCATCTTGGTGTTTGTTTTTTTTTCTTTTTTTTGCATGGTAATACGTGTCTCATTCATATCATAAAGAACAAAGTATAAGTCACGTAAGAATCAACATGACAAAACTGAAAAGATAGCAGAACATCTCTGAGCTTGATACTAACGCCCGTCACCTGCCTCCGGCACCACCACAGCAGCCACCGAAGAAAAGAATGACGGATCACCTCCTCACCCGAGCTCGACGCGGCTCCATCGCTGATATGTAGCTTTGCGGACCTCCAAGGTGGCTCACCAAAAGTGAAGCCATTGCCGTTGAACGAATCAGACCGGGGCAACACCCCGGACACGCCTTCGAACTCCAGATCTGGCACCCCACCACGACTAAGACGCCGAAGGAGGAAACCATACCTGCCATCCACGAACCACGAACCCAGCACACATTTGTCTTCCAGATGTCGTCGATGCAGAACACAATCTGCATCCGCTCCTGGACTACCTCCCAAGCTCCACGCCGACGCTGGAGCAAACGTCGTCGCAGCGACGGAGCCCGAGGACACAGGTCCACCACGAGGATACCGCCGCCGCCACGCCATCCTTGATTGAACAGACTGATTTCCAGATCCATCCCCAACCATAGGACCGATGGCCTCGTCGGGAAAGGATCTGAAGAACATTTATTCAGCGTCGTCATCGCCGCCGCCGAAGCAAAGGCGATGAACAACCTAAAAACTTAGACTACGAATGAGTAAAAACAATTCACACGCGTGGATCCGGGGACCCCCCTCACCACCGACGACCGAGGTTGCCGGCGGAGGGGAGCCTCAAAAGCAGTATGTT